TCTCTGTAAGCTTCCATAGGCATTGATGTTTGCAATTCTTGATATAGTGCCCATAAAAACTACAAATAAAATTAAATTTGTTAAATAAGATAATATATAAAACAAAATATCACAAGAAAAAATTAAAATTTTATTTATGAAGATTTACCTGATTAGGTTAAATGTGGTCAAACATTGATCTGTATCCCACAACATTATTATGAGGTTTATTCTGAAAGTTGAGGACTCTACCTCCGCTCCATCTGCACACTAGAGGGTATGTTGGTGGATTATTGGAAATTGGCGCAATATATGGCATGCGATACCATACCCAGGACATTAACAGTGATGCACAACCACCCATTGTTTTGCTCCCAACTTCTGTGGCCTTGCACATTTCCCTATACAACATAGCTAAACAAGCAGATCCCCAACTATATCTTCTAGCTCTTCTAATATTAGTTAATAAAGCTAAATACATAAGATGAACTTTGTTGCCTGTTTTGTCAGGCATCAAAACACCTCCAATGAAACCCAATATATATGCTTTAACATGAGCGTGAACCTGCTGTTCAGATGGTTCATCTGGTAATGGTAACATGTTGTCTCTCAACCACTTCAATTTCACCATAGTGCCAATAAGTGTCTCTCTCTTGACTGGCATGATACCGAGATATAAGTCACACATATCCTCTCAGTCAAACATTGTTGGAGCAATGACTGGTAATCCATCAATACTTAGCCCCAGTTGAAGTGCAACATCCTCTAGGATTATGGTGCACTCCCCTGTTGAAAAATGAAACGTGTGAGTTTCAGGTCTCCACCTCTCGACCAAAGCTGTTATCAATGCATGATCCACCTTAAGATGCCTTGACTTTGCCACCCCAGCAAAACCAAGTTCTTCAAGTAAAGGAACAATTAAAGGATTGAATTCTGGCATTGAATGACAAAAAGATGAAATTATGTTTTCAGTTTCCAGCATTTATTAACAAATTAATAACATGATACGTAGATCTTGAAAGTCATATTTATTAAAACTTACCGTTCTTCCAATGAGGGCGGACCTGTGTTTGTTTTGCTTCCACAACAACATTTTTAGTAATGGATGCAAGTTTGAATGAAAACATATAGCCTTGATAAACATATTTATAGATAAACTTTGGTATGAGAGAGGTGCATGTGGTGTCATGGAGAGGTTACTCTCACTCGTAAAACGTGTTTGGCAGAGGAGAAAGTTATTACTTGGAAGGAGAGAAAGCTTGTGCATGTGGTGTCATTGAGAGGTCACCATCACTTGTAAAACGTGTTTAGCAGAGGAGAGAGTCATTACTTCGGAGGAGAGAAAGCTTGTGCATGTGGTGTCATTGAGAGGTCACCATCATTCATAAAACGTGTTTGGTAGAGGAGAGAGTCATTACTTGGAAGGAGAGAAAGCTTGTGCATGTGGTGTCATAGAGAGGTCACCATCACTCATTAAACGTGGTGAAGCTTTGAATGAGAAGGAATCCAATGCTACCGTTATAAATAGTCATGTAGGTTGTTCATTTTCTTCATTCACCCTTCTAAACTTGTTGCTTGTTCTTGTGAACCTACTACTTCTAAGTTTGTTCATCTTTCACTTGGTTCAATCTCAAAATGTCTTCAATCTATGTCATTGTTCACTCTGATAGTGCCATCAACCAATGTCCTAATGAAGGAGTCACGTTCACCTCACTATCAGCCAAATTGGTACATCTAAAGAGAGGAGTGACTCTACAAAGGCTGAAGAAAGTCATCCACACCAAACTTCACCGAGACGAAAATGAAAGGGTGGAAACGATACATTTTCGCTACCCAATTAGACTTGGCCCGGGGGTTTGCAACTATATATGTGTTCAGTTGAACGATGATGAGGACGTCGAGGCACTCTTCAACATCCATGATTCTAATCAACTTCAATCAGGTATAGAACTATATGTTACATTTGCCACCAACGTAACCCAGGTATCACAACTTTCACCTTACCAAACTTTGGAAACCATTAATCCATCTTTTCCAACTTATGATATGAATTTTGACCTTCAGTCTTACAAACAACTTCACACTGGTGGTTTCATGGACCTCAATGAAATACCCTCCCAGGCAATTGAAGTAGAGCCAATTGAAGAACATGCTATTGTGGGTCTCCTAATAGAAGTTTTTGACCCTTTTAGTGAGGACGAAGATGAAATAATGTCACAACAGCAGGATGATGAAGAAGACTCCCTCTCAATTCCAAATATTCCATAATCAGAACCATTACCATTATACCACCCACCTCCACATTTTCTGGACTTTTGCAGTCAAATACATGAACATGACTCTGAGTTTGGCCACGTCCTTGATCGTGAAATGGTTATGTATCCGCCTAGAACACTATTTGTTGGCCAGCGCTTCCTGACAAAAGAACAGGTGCAAGATGCCATAAACAGATTTCACATTGTCAATCACTGCACTTACAAGGTGAAGATGTCAAGCACAACTAGGCTTGTCATAGAATGCGTTCACAACGACTGTGACTGGAATGTCGAGCTATATTGTGCACCAAAGAGTAACACTGGGAAATAATGAAGCTTGAAGGGTGTCATACATATGTTTCCCCACTCATTTCACAGGATCATAACAACTTGGGATCATGAATGATTTCTCAAACTATTCATGAAATTATTGAGGTTGATCCATCCATACCCATCATAGCTCACATCAAGTCCACCATGGGTTATACAATCAGCTACAAAAAGGGATGGTTGGGGAAACAACATGTCATTGAAAATATATTCAGAAATTGGGAGGAGTCATACCACAAGTTACCTAGTATGTTGCAAGCAATGCAACTGTATCTTTTGGGTTTCATCTAGAAATTAAGTACACAACTGGCGTACAAGGGTGACTTGTTGGACGAGGAAAATGTGTTCTTCAAGAGGTTGTTTTGGACCTTCAGGTCATGCATTGATGGTTTTGCCTTCTGCAAACCAATTGTTCAAGTCGATGGAACATTTTTGTACAACAAATATAAAGGGACTTTATTGGTGGCAGTTGTGCAAGACGGCCGCAACAACTTAATTATCATTGCCTTTGCTGTGGTTGAAGGTGAAACCAACGATGCATGAATCTTTTTTTTTAAGAAACTTAAGGAGGTACGTAACTCCGCAGGAGAGGTTATGCCTCATTTCGGATCGTCACGAGGCCATAAGAAGTGCATACTCTAAAAGTGGAAGTGGTTGGACAGAAAACGGTTCTGTCCATGACTATTGCATTAGACACTTTGCACAAAATTTCATGAGATGATTCAAAAATCCTGCACTTAAGAAAGATGTCATCAATATGGGTAATTTTAATTTTTTTCATACTTTAAATTATCATTAATCTTTTTTACACTTGTTAATTTGACATATTTTTTTCAGCATATGGGATGACTAAACCGAGATTCTTTTACTATTATAACATAGTAAAAGATAATAATCTCGAAGCTGCATAATGGTTAGACAACATCCCAAGGAAAAAATGGGCGCTGACATGGGACAATGGACGACGCTGGGGACACATGACAACAAACCTAGCGGAGTCAACCAATTCGATCTTGAAGAAAACTAGAAATCTGCCAATTTGCTCCATGGTCATGACGACATACACCCGTTGCAACAAGTTCTTCATTGAGAGAGGCAGAGAAGTAGATGCAATGATTAATGCTGGACATGTGTACTCGGAGGTTACAATTAAAGCAATTCAAGATGCACATTCAAAGGCGAACACTTATAAAGTCATTACCTTTGACCGAACAGGCACTAGATTTTTAGTGGAAGAAATGGAACATCCAAGAGAAGTTCGACTTGTAGGAAGATTTACAGTACGGTTAGATGAAATGTGGTGTGATTGTGGCAAGTTCCAAAAAGTTCACATCCCATGCTCGCATGTACTTGCTTCATGCTTACACGCACACCACAACTTTGACATCTACATATCTCCTATGTATTCTTTACAACAAGTTTCTAAGATATACCAAGGTCAGTTTGAAGAACTAAGACACGAAGACTACTGGCCAACCTACACTGGCCCAACTTTGTGTCCAAATCCAGAACTTCAAAGGGTTGACCCAAGTCCAGCAGGATAAAAACAGAGATGGATATTACAAAACAACAAAATCGTGCAAAAAATTGTTCCTATTGTCACACTCCTGGTCACACAAAGAAGACATGTCCAAACATTAGTCATGCATTTAGTTCTCGTCATTGATTTCTTTTTTTGTATTAGGTTATAAAGAAAAAGGAAAAGCTAACTAGAGAGGACGTTGTATTAATAAATGTCATAATTTTACTTCCCACGCAACAGCTCCTTCAATCACTTTTGCATATTAACATTAAAATTTCTCATGTTGCATTTAAAATGAAATACTTATTCAAAATAATATTATTATATTAACATTTATAATTCATAACACATTTTTACATATTCAAATAAATATATATCCAAACATTCTTTATTATTTTTATTAATTTGATATACAATTTTTTTTTTAAATTCAAATACTTATTCAAAATAATATTTTTATATTAATATTAAAAATTCATAACACAAATTTACATATTTAATATAATATTTTTTATTATTTCACACAAATTAACATAATATAAATATTTATTTTCATATAATATAAAAATAAAAATATAATTCAAATAATAAATTTTATTTTATTATTTAAAATAATCTTTTTATTATTAAATTTGACAATATATAATTATATAAACATAAAATATTACATAATAATTTTTTATTATATAAAAATAAAAAAATTAAAATTATATCTGGAATTCAGTTACCCAAAACTAATTCTATCAACAAATTTATCTTAAAAACGTGAATAGAAGATCAGAATTCGGTTTCTCGAAGACACAATTTTGATACCTCAACAGTAAAAAAGTTTAATTTAGTAAATATTTATAAGAGAAATATATTTCAGTATTTTTATTTATTTTTTATATTATTTTCGTAAAAAACTCGGTGAGAGTGCGAAAACACCGACAACTGAAACAATCACCGCAGGAAGCATGCGACAAACTTTAAACGGTTTCTTTGACTATCCGCAACCTTCCAGTGACTTGTTCAGTTCATTCCTTTTTCTTTCCATCGAATTCAAGTCAAGTCTAGAATTTCGAAAGAACTAAAGGAAAAGAAAAGAAAACCCCCTCTCAGATCCAATCTTAAGAATATCTAATATTAAGTGTGGTTCATTGAATTTTCCACATGGATGCATCGTCGTCGTCGTCGAGTCAACCTGAATTCGATTATTTGTTCAAGCTTCTGTTGATTGGGGATTCTGGGGTTGGCAAAAGCACCCTCCTTTTGCGCTTCACCTCTGATTCTTTCGAGGATCTTTCTCCCACCATCGGTTTGTAACAATCTTTTCCTTTCCTTTTCTCCTTTTTATTGGAAATAAGTAATATAGCCTTTTGTGTTTTAGTGTTACGATTAATTATGAGTTGAGCTCAAATAATTCCCAATTAACTCAGTTAATTTACACTCCTAACTATTATATATTTTGGGCTTACAATTCACAAATCAGTACTGAATCTACTGACAAGACATGACTTGTCAGATCAGGCTTCATACATTTAATTATACAGTTGATCTAATAATATGTGTTGTAGTGGGCCAAACCCAAATCAGGATTGGACAATAATGGTTTGACTGTTGTGTAAAGCAGCATTCTTTTGTTTTTAATTATTTTATTTTGTTTTATAAGCAATATCTAGTTTTGTCTTCAACAGAGATTATTTAGTTTCTCCATCACGGAGTCGTGCTCCATTTGTCCATGTTATGGTTCATTATATGACTGTGGAGACTATCACCTAATTATTTGTTAAAATGACATACTTTTTCTCAGTCATATGAATTGATTCTTATAATCATGATGCAGGTGTGGATTTCAAAGTTAAATATGTTACAATGGGAGGGAAAAAGTTAAAACTTGCTATTTGGGACACAGGTAATGTGCCGTGTGTTAATTATGATTTCCAGAAAGTCAAATCCCTTTTATTCTGTGTTGTTTGCTTCTGTTTTTTATTTTCAAAATATTTACATTAGTTAAGAAACAAAACTTTTTGTATTGCTAAAAACTCATGACGCATAGTGAGTGTGGAAGCTTTGGAGCTCTTATGTACTAAACTGTTTTGGGCTTTACTTGTAACGTATGCCATACCAATTGAAATCTTCAAAATTTTTTGTTGAATATTTCAGTACTGGTTCATTAATATATATTAGGATGACATATATGAACTTGGAGGTCAAGATTGCTAGTCTTAAGTCTTAATACTCAAGTGAAAACATATTTTGGCAATTTCTGCAATATTTTTTATAACCAGTGTACTGGAATGTACCTTATCTTTGATCACAGTGTCATTAATAGAGTAATGTATTAGAGAAATATATTTCAAATATATTTTGTTGAAACTACGACATGTTGAAACTGTTCCATGTATATTTATGAGAGCATAGTGTAATGTAATGCTTTAGCTACTATGTGCAGTATATGGCTTATATTTCTTATATACAGAGATTAGCAGTTTCTGATATACTGAATTTTCGTTTTATATTATAAGTTTGTATAATTTAAGCTTTAGAGAGTCTGGTCAACCATATCTGGAATAAGTTAATTGCAATACTCAGTATTTTCTGTTTGTGCAGCTGGACAGGAAAGGTTTAGAACACTTACTAGTTCATATTACAGAGGAGCTCAGGGAATAATTATGGGTATGTTCCATGATTTTCTCCATTACTTAGCTATATTAAACATTTATGATGCACTTTTTTGTGTTTGTTTGAATTTTGGTATCTTATTGAGATGTAAATCATTCACTATGGCTATATCTGTAGTTTATACCTATTTCTATTTTACCACTTTTGAATTTATATTGTAAAAATATAGCAAACTGGTAATTGTATGATGTCATTGTTTTGATATTTTCCTTTTGCTGGTCTCTTGCCTTTGTGCGGTGTCATTAAATGCCAACTTTTATTCTTCTGCATAAGGCACTGTTTTGGTAAATGATTGTTTTGAATATTTTAAAAAATGAAAAACATGTTTCTTATAATGAATGATCAAATCTGATGCAATAGCTATTAGCTATGTCATGAACCAAGATTCTAAGAGCATATTGTCAGCTGAAGGCACATGAAAATTGGTAGAGTTCTTTGGGCTTGAAGCATGGATAATGACATGCCATACAATACTCTTGTGCTGAAATTTAACTTCTATCTGAAAGAATTAGGGCAACAAGGATCCCTCGGCCACAGTTTATCTTGGGAGCTTTGACATTGTCACGACCTAAAATTGAGTTTGTAATCATTGCTCAGGCTAAGTTACCAAGAAATATCACCTACAAACCTATTTAGAAGTAAACACATAAAATAATAAACTGTTTCAAACAAGTGTATGACCAATCTACTGAAATTGCCACTAAATTTCTTTTGTAATTTCAACATTCCAAAAATATAACAACTTGTTAAAATTATATGATTCAATAACAATAAAGGAACATCAGATATACCTAATATCAATACCAAGTTCCTATTACATAGCCAAAATAATAAATCTAACTTCTTAAAATCTGCAAAAGTCCAAAATGTAACAAAAAGCAAAATGAGACCATCTTAACAATGATGATCTACTAATAGAAAATTCTATTGGGATGAACTGTAATTTCTACTAACTTATAACTCAGCTACTGGAAGATCTGAAAAAAAATAAAGAAATGGGTGAGTAACACAGGCTTAATGAAGACATAATAACCATAATGAATAAGAAACGAAAATAAATAATGTATGAATGTTTAATAATTATAGAACTTATAATATGTCAGTTTAATAAAACTAATTTGTTCTATCCTCACTTTCAAGAATTTGAATATAAATCAAAAGTTCATAAATTTGTGTTGTTAAATAAAAACATTCTTTCAATCTATAACTATTATAATGAAATACGTTTTAAAAAAAATTAAATAGAATTTTTTTAAAATATCATAAATGAAACCTATATATTACTCTAAGAATCACATGAGAGAACTAAAAGTATAACTGTATAAGGTAACTCTACTTTGTTGATAACTCCCTCCTCCTAAGGAGAACCTCTCCCTTTGAGATTAATTCATCTAACAGACAACTCATTCCTTGTGTTTGTCGTGTCATAATTTGTCTTAGTGAGAATAGTCTTAACTTGTTGATAGCTCTCTCCGTGCATTGACATTTCCATTTAACAGATTTGGACATCATTAATATCCAACAAAATTTCTGAAAATTATTTGAATCTAGATCTATACTTAAAATTTTAAAATATACCCTTCCTACAAATAAAGCATGTCAAAAAATAATTTTTATAAGCTTGAGTAGTTAAGATTACTTTAGGAACCCAAATAATTTTTTCTCCTATAATAGATGACACTTCCAAACTCCGAAAATTTACCCAAAGCTATTTATATGAAAAATAAAAATAAATAAGTCATAAAGATTTATTTAGAATCTTAAAAGAATAAGTTAAGGTAATAAAATAGATACATGGAGGAATGAGAGAAGGAGGGAAAGACGACACTGAGAAAGAGATGAGAAATAAGGCAGGGAGAATTGGGATGGGGGCATTTGGTGAAAATGAAAATGAAAATAGAAATCGGGGGGGGGGTTGTTGGTGAAAAAGAAATGGAATGGGGGGGAGTCATTCTCCCCTTTCTACTTTGTTCTAAGGCCCCTATAGTTAAAGGGGCCATTTCAGATACAATGCCACAAACCAACTCCCCCAAAAGAATAAATAATAGGGTGAAGGACATAAATGGTATATATTACAAGATGTATGTGAAACCACATCAAATCCATAAAATATGAAAGGATTCATGATCTTATAGCAAAAGTGGAGGGCAATGTAACACTTAAATTTTGGTGGCAGTGCTTTTTTTCCTTTACTGAAGTGCAGTCTATAAGGCAAAATAGTCCATTTATTAATGATCCAACCTATTCATCCATGAATAAATCCTAACTGTTCATTTGTATTACAATACCAAAGCCTTATCTTAGTAAATGAAGTCGGTAACATAGATCACACAATGCCATTATATATGGTTGAAAACCTTTTTTTGAGATATTATTTACTATAAGATCCCTTTTAATAATATTTTTTTCAAAGTGTTTTTAGGTCTTGTTCTACTCTTTTTTTAACCAAATTAAATGTCATGTCATCACTATTTTTACTAGTTTCTTCAATAAATTTCTTTGCATGTGTCCAAATCACTTAAAACAATTGTCATCTTTTTTCTTATAGGTGTTATTCCAATCTTATCTTGTATAAAATCATGATGTGACTCCTCATTCATTTTAATATTTTGATTTCTACAACTCTTATTTTTTTTCTCTTGTCATCTCTTTAAAACTTAGCATTCACTATCATATAGAATAACTAGTTGCATAACAGTACCATAAAACTTTTCTTTAACCTTGATTAGTACTTTAAGATTACAAATAAATCCTAATTTTTTGTTTCATTTTAACCATTCAGCTTGTATTATTTATAATGTCTTTGTTTTGAAAGAATTAATCTCAAGTACTTAAAATTAAAAACCTGTGGTATGATGTCACTTCCAATTTAACTTCCAAAGCATTATCATCATTTTGTTTCTTGCTATATAATGGATATACTTTGTTTTACTTCAATTCAAGCATAAACCAATAGATTTCAAAGTTTGTCTCCCATGTTTATGTTTAGAGTTTGCTAGAACTGTAATAGATATACTTTGTTTTACTTCTATTCAAGCATAAACTAATAGATTTCAAAGTTTGTCTCCAATGTTTATGTTTAGAGTTTGCTAGAGCTGTAATAGATATACTCTGTTTTTACTTCTATTCTAGCATAAACCAATAGATTTCAAGGTTTTCGCCAAAGTTTAAGTTCAGAGTTGACCTTTGGTTTTGATTTCTCAACCAATACTATTTCATTTATAAAATAACATGGATTTATGGAATGTATTGGAAAAGGACAAGGGCTTTCAATTTTCATTCTTTTAATGTACTATTTTTTATTTTGGTTTTAAAATGAAGTTTGGAATGTGTTGTGTCATAAGATCAGACATATGGTTTGTTTTTGGTTCAAGATTTCTTTTCCACTAGATAAATTTTGTAGAGAAAAAAATATTTGTGAAAATTTAAAGAGAAGAAAATTGATAGGTAAAAAATATAAATAAAATATAAAATATAATATGCTTGTAAATGGATGGCTTGAATATCTATCCATAAAAAAAAATTATTGGATAAGGTTCGATGGTTTTTATTAAAGGAGTCATGGATGAATTTGATTCTTTTAATATATTTTTAATGAATAAAATTGTAGCACCTATGATGGAAAGGATGAACGAAAACCATCGCAAAAAAGACCACTAGAGGCACTAGTGAAGAGAGTGGACGATGTGACTTATAGTCCAATAAAAAGAGTAGAGGGAAATCAAAAAGAATCTTAGAGAAAATTATTAAAAAAATTCTATTGATTAATAATATTTCTAAGGATTTGATTTTTTATTTAATTCAATAATGTCATGTGATCCAAGTAGCCAATCTTATTTAGTAGGATAAGGCTTGGTTGTTCTCATTGTTTGTTGTTGGATCATAATAAATTGATTAAGAATTTATTTTTAATTCGTCCATTATAATTCAATTCAAAATTTATCCCAATCGTCCATACTCCTATGTCACTGGTAAGAAAGAGGAAAATCCATTCCATCCAAGGCAGCCCATGAACTGGGACAAGGGATATTCTTGTTGTGGATGAAACCAGGTCTTTGACAATCTAGAATTCTAAAAACCAAACTAAACTGTTGTTGAGACTAAGGAGAATGCATGCCCATAGACCATACCAGCATAACATATTAGCTATAGTTTCTTGGCATGTACAGTAGTGATGGGAAAGGGTTATGGGTCTTTTTCTGATAAACTCAACTCTATGTGTCTTGATAAATGCCCAGAAGAGTTTACTTCAATTTGGAAATATTGAACATTTGACAACAGAGTATTGACAACTGTGTGGTAGTGTTTTCTTCGGCTCATAATATCATAAATGAGATATCATTCCAGTGAGAGTATTGGACATATTACTAAGAGGATTGATTGATTATCATTCTATCATTTCTCTTCTGTTGAGTAATTACAGAGTGTTGTTGTTAGAAACTTCGAATTATTGTCTTGATTTGTAGACCATGAATTTGGTTGGCTAAAATAGTATAGCAGTAACCTGTTTTGCTTCTAAATATTATGAGATTGTTTCAATTTTTTAGCTATGACAATCACATTTATGTTGCTTTTAAATTATAAATCTATTCAATGAATTTGGATTTTTTAATACATGCAGTATATGATGTGACACGGCGAGAAACCTTTACAAATCTATCTGATATATGGGCTAAAGAAATTGACCTATACTCCACAAATCAAGATTGCATCAAGATGCTTGTTGGAAACAAAGTTGATAAGGTGCGTCCATTAATGATTTTTTTTTTTTTGTGTAATTTTTCATTCTTATAAATTGTGAGGGTAAGTCTTGATCAAGCTATTAATATTTTGAGGTGGGCTTCACCCTTCTATTTTAAAAAGTCTTTGTACTTAATCATATTTTTAATCTTTATTATGATTAATTTGCAATTTTACTCTAAATATTTTTTAGTTCCTTAACTTTTTAAATTGCTACAATAAAATTTTTCTATTAGTTTTCCTGTTCTTAAAACTCAAATTCTCATTTTCTTTCCAAAATCTCCATGAATTAAATTGATTAAACTATTTTATATTTCTTCCAGAACTTGGAAATTTCAATTGCTTATTTTCTTTGAAACCGTAACTTCATATCATACAAAATCATTAAATTTCATCAAATTAATCATTGTAGAAGGACACAAAATACAATTAGGTCTATTTTGAATCTAATTACTTTTTCAATTGTTTTATTTATTTGGTCGCCTAAACTAAAACCATCTAGCTCTGCCACTGGTCTTGATTCACTAATTCAGTAAGAAATTTCCATCTGGGTATTTTTTGCAAATGCTGCTCTTGTGACCTGTTTTATATCTAAAAATATTATCCTATCGTATCTTTTCCATAGGATTAGAGACCTTATTTTATCATTATCCCTTAGGATTAGTTACCATATTTCCTTATCATGATTTGTTTTATGAATTCGATAAGATTATGATTAGTATAAACAGGGGTTACTGCTCTTGGTTTTATGAACATCCAAAACATCCCAACACATTATCATACATCTCAATAAATATCAATTCTGTTTTATCTTTCTTCTTCTATCTAGACCTAAAGCACTGCAATTTTAACAAAGGCATATCACTCTTTTTCAGGAGAGTGAGAGGGTTGTCAGCAAAAAGGATGGGATAGACTTTGCAAGGGAATACGGATGTCTGTTTACTGAATGCAGTGCAAAAACCAGAGTCAATGTTGAGCAGTGTTTTGAGGAGCTTGTAATGAAGGTATACATGCTATGCAACTCTTCCCTAACTCCTCGAAAGAAGAAAAGGGGGTGGAGTGTCACTGAAATAATTGAAATGGTTATTATTGCTTTAATATATTAAGCATAAAATATTTAATGCTTTTGTCATGATGATATCTGTTTATGAAATATGTTTTGGAATACCATTTGGTGAAGGCTTCTCAAATTCCTGAACAACTGCTGTATCCTTACTAAAGAATTTGCAACCATTTTTGTGCACAAATACTGAATCTAGTTGACCTGAATTGCAAGCAAGATAAACCTTTTAGCATTTGTCTCAAAAGAATTGTGGGTGTTGTAATGTTGTCTCCCACCCTCATGGGGTCTACCTATTTTCTTTTATTTATTTTTATCAAGTAAAATTTAACACCCTCAGGAAATGGAAGAAATGATTTCAAAATTTGGGCTTCCCTGTTTGTCTGTAGATTTTGGAGACACCAAGCCTCTTGGCTGAGGGTTCATCTGGTGTGAAAAAGAACATCTTCAAGCAGAAACCCCCGCAGTCTGATGCATCAAGTAGTAGCTGCTGCTCATGGTGATTCACGTGCTCACCAGGGCCTTTCACCTTCCACTTCTCAGTATGATCTGGATTTCAAGTGCAATTAAATTTCATCAGATGTACACACAAATATTTTATTTAGAGCCTGTATATCCAGATTAAATTATTGTTCTTCTCAAGAATTTGCCTAGCTTTTAAAGATATCCATTTTATTGGGTGTTATTAGCAAGTACTCAGCTGGGTTTCATATTTCATACCGTCCTTGCATATGGAAAACGTTTGCTATATTTATGCTTTGATGTCTTAACATGATCATAGCTGACATTCACACATTGAGGAAATTTATATATAAAACTTCCTCTACAGAAGCATAACAATTATCATACTGGCATTGTTTCGAGCACTGCCACAGCATAAAAGTAGCATGGAATATCGTAGCTTTTTTGACATCTGCCACACCGTATACAGGTATGGCAAATCATGTTGTTGATTCAACTAAAAACAAAATGGTCATTGTAATGTTAGGCTCAGAATAAGTAGGAAAGAGTTGGGGAATTAAGAAGATGAAACAAAAACTTTGCGTCATGACCCTTAATGTGTATATTTATTTATAAGAAAATGCTAACCTTTACCACTAAGTTCAAGGAATTTATATTTTATTTTTTATAACTTTAATGTAATGTATATTGTTTTTTCAATAAAAATTTATACCTTTTAGATTATTAAATTCAGTTTTAACGGTTAAGGATTAAAAAAAATATCATATTTTTTTTAGATCAGAAGCATATCACATCATTGTCATATATCATCATGCTGATACGGTTTGAATTGTCACTGACAAGAAGAATTCCAAGATATAGTAATGCTCTCAACGGTTGGCATTTAATTTAAAACAAATTAAAAATATCTCTACCACAAAGGAGTGCATAGTTATATATCAAACTCAGTGTTATCAAATGGCAGAATTTGGTGACAATCTTTTAGCTTTTTCAGACAGTCACGGCAAAAAATGGCGTTTTTTAGTCACAGCGGCTGTTGTTCGCCTAGTAGTAACGGTGACTATAGCGAAAAAATGACAAATTTTTTCTTTTTCTAAACAAAAGGTTAGGTTGCAGATTTTGAAGTTTTTTTACAGTAATATTATATATGAAAAAAAAAATACTCAAATAGAATGGAGACTAATTTAATTATTCAACTAAACCTAAATTTTGGACAACAATTTTGACACTCAAAATTTGGTTTCTTGAGAACCGAATTTTGAGTTGCTTTTTTTTTTATATAATAAAATAAATATTATTATTTAAATTATATTTATATATTTATATTTTATTAAAATAAATATTTATAAATATTTTGTTAGTTATATATATAATAAAATAAGTTTTATTATTTAAATTATGTTTATATTTTTATATTATTTAAAATAAATAAAAATAATAATATTAATTTTAAAATATATTTGACATATTTAATCAAGATAATAAATAATATTTTTTGAAAACAATAATAATTAAATTTTTAAAAAATAATTAAAATAATTAAATAATAAGTAAATTATTTTAGATAATTTTAAAAAATTAATTAAAATATTTAAATAATAAATATATTATTTTAGATAATAATGTTAATGTTTAGATTATTTATACTTAAAAAATAATAAATATATTTTTAAAAATTAAATAAATATATTAAATATTATTCTGTTTATTTACTTATTTAAATATGTAATTTTGACTTAATATTTTTAAATATTAGTATGATAAAATGATATTTTAAATAAAAAATTATTTTAATTAAATAATTTTTTTTAAAATGACATTATTTAATATTATAATTTTTAATACCCTAAACTTTAAAACTTTACTATTATAATTTTGAATAAATTTTATTTGAGAATAATTTTTTTTTAAAAAGTAAATAAAATATTAAATTATAAATTAATTATTTATAGTTGAGACAAATATTTTGAAATTAACGTTTTCTTGTTACTAAGGTAACATTGATGAAGACAAAGTGCATTAATAAGATGATAAAAAATTCATAATAACAATAATAATTAACTATCTCCGTAATGGTGGCCAAATCCACGACGAGGGTAATGTCTGTGACGTAGTGAGTTTCGTCATTATGGTTGTTGCTCTCAATTTCAGGATGAACTTGTGGATGATTTGAATCATCATGAAAGTCTAGTTGTTGGAATGCATTTGATGAATTACTAAGTTCATTAACAAAATTTGGTTGGTAAAGAGACTGCATATAAGTTTGTGTTGAAGATAGAGTTGTAAAATCAACTCCAAATAAGTTTGTAAAAGAATCCTCCGATGTTGTTGCAAACGAAGTCTTGTCTTAATTATGTTTGCTTCTAGCGTAATGTCTATGTCGCAATCGGAGTACGACGGGACGATTATGACAAGGAGTCGTCACCAAAGTTTATTAAAGAAAAGAACATTTACAAAATATTTAATAAAATAATCTTTAAAATCATGTTTAGGCTCGGGAGTCGTTTAGCGTAGGGAAGCTATTAGCACCCTACGACGTTCGTTGATTAAAACGGCTACTTTCTAATTAATTGTGTAAGAATCATTTCAACTTTTTAAAAATTATTTATTTTATTTTAAAAGAAAATTATTGATTTTTTTTTTTCTGATTTGTCATTTTTTTAATATTATTTCTCATTTTTAACAATTTTTTTAAGTTTTAATTATATAAATATTTTTTAGAAATACGATTAAAAAAATTTGAATTAAAGGAATGAATATATATATAAAAATACTATTTTTATTTTATTTTCATATTAAATAAATTTAAATAAAATATGACATGATTTTTTTATTTTTTCTTAAAGTAAGATTTCTTTTTTCTTTTCTTGTATTTTTTATTTTTTGAACAAATAGCTAAAAATCTAATTCGAATGGAGAAAGTGAAATATTTATAAAATATTATTTCTTTATTATCATATTAAATAAATTTGAATAAAAATCAACTTGATTTTTTTCTTAAGTAAAAATTCATTTTTGCATATTTTTTTGTAAAGAACTAAAAAATTAGTTTTAATTGGAAAAATGGATTATTTACAAAATATTATTCTCCTTTTTTTTTTAATTTTAGAATGGGATAAATTTAAACAAAATTTGAATTTAATTTTCTTTCTTTTTTTAAGTAAAATATTTGTTTTTATATTTTTTAATTTTAAATAAAGAGTTAAAAAATTAATTTAAATTAAGGAAATATATTATTTAAAAATATCATTCTTTTTTTTGAATTGATTAAATTTAAACAAAATTTAATTTAATTTTTCCTTTTTTAGTAAAATATTCATTTTTTTTATTTTTAAATTAAGAATTAAAAAAATTAATTTAAATTGGGAAATAGATTATTTATGAAATATCATTTTTTATTTTTCATATTCAATAAAATTTAACTTGATCTTTTTAGTAAATATGTTTTTTTATTTTTTTTATAAACAAACCTAAAAATTTAATTTGAATTGGGAGAACGGATTAATCATAGGATATTATTGCCCCTTCTCTCTTTTTTTATTTTATTTTATACATTTTTTGCATTGATATTAGTCTTAAAATATTTATTTTATTTTATTTACTTATTCCCTTTTTTTATAAATAAACATAAAAATTTTGTTTTCTGTTTTATCATTCTGAATTGCTCATAGTTTAATTTTTTTTAAATAATTGAAACCTGAAAAAAATAAAATTTTTATTTTTAGACTTGACGGGTCAGGTTCCTGCTCCTACATATCCTCCGTGTGTAACGTAGGAATCAAAGCTGCCACGTAATTATTTTGAAAAATAAGTTTGAATAAGTTTCAAAAGTGTTAATTTTTTTTAGCTTGATTTTTACTTTGTTATTATTTTTTGTAAATCCACTCTTGCACAAGGTTCAAATTAGTACACGACTACTCAATAAACCTTTACGATCTAAGCGATGTTGAAGGTGGATCCACCACTCTATCAAAATTACTTGGTCATTGCGTGGATTTAAAAGACTCCTTTTTTTTATAACCAAAATGTCTTATTAATATTGAATTATATATATATATATATATATATATATATACAATAAGAAATAAACGAAAAATATATAGAACAACAAAAACATATACAAGAGCAAACAAAAACAACAAGAAAATAATTATTGTTTGATTTAGGAATTAGTTTTTTTTTTGGATTTGCAAAGAAATTGAAATTTTTAAGACTTATAAAGAAAGAAAGAATTTTTAGGGTTTGAAAAATTTAGACTTTTATAATTTGTGAAATAGTTAGAGTTTAAAAAGAAGGCTATTTTTTAGGTTTTGTGAAAAAGAAATACGTGGGATTTTTTTAAAAAAAATTATTTTTAGGATTTAAAAAAAAATAACTCTTTTGGGTAGAAAATGTTTTAGGGTTGGCAAAAAGGCAAAGCAAGCAATGCCCTTTTTTTTAAAGATTTTTTTAGGGTTTGGGAAGATTAGGGTTTGCAAAAAGAGCAATTTTCATTTTTAAAAAAATGATACATTTAGTGGGAACAGACAAAACAAGGAAAAAAAATAGAAATGCAAGCAAAGTACACATAATAAAACAAAGAGATTTTTGTTTAGAAATAAAAATTTAGATTTTTAATATGAACAGAAGGAAGAAATGAGAGCAAAATAATAGATGAAGTGATATTTCATTTAGAAACAAAAACTCAAGACTTTTAACATAAACAAAATATACAAGTAGAAAAAAGAGCAAATAATAGATGAAGAACAGGCCACAAAAGGAAATCTTACTTGCTTCAGAGAATTTATCCTTCAATTCTTTTGATTTATTCTCTCTATTGACCTCGGGTGTGCCTTGAGATGCTCTCGGTTAATTTTCTTTTGGCTCTCTCCTCTTTTTTCTTCGTTTCCCGAGCTCTCTCTCTAGGATTTTCTCTTTTTTTTCTCCCTATGCTCTCAAAGTGTCATGTAAAAATATGAAGTGTCAAGGTCCCTCTCTAAAGACCTAAACTTCCTATTTATAGCCACACCTCCTAACCCTAAATCCTATTTTATTTATTTATTTATTTATTTTTATTTTAAAAAAAGGATCCACCTTCCTATTTTTCGATGGCCACCTCTCATATTTTCCTTAAATATCTCATTCACTTCCCTTAAAATCTTTTCACTAATCCACTAACCTAAATATCTACATATTTAAAATTTATAATCCTAATCTCTTATAGACCAAAAATTTAAAATATTATCTAATTTTTATTTTATTTTTATTATTTATGTATTTATTTATTTATTTATTTTTTAGATGGGACCCGGATAAAACTGGGTATTCACAGTCCAGAGGAATTGATGCAGTCTCATGATATGACGGTGTGAAAGTCGTACCG